ATAACAGAAAGATTTGACCAAAAAAATTGACGCTAGCTAATAGTGTGACAACAATTATTGTGAACATTATATGGATTATCTTAGAATAATTCAAGAAATTCTCAAAAATAATATTTTGAAAACTTGTTACATTTTAAATTAACTTCCTCCAAATAAAATGATATTGAAAAAAAGTTTAAAAAATTAACTACTTGGCTTAGATGAATGTTTTTACTATAAAAATTGTTTTTTAAATTAGATTTGCAAGTGGCTATTTTGAAATTTTCCTTAGTTCTGAGAAATTAAAATTAAACAAATTATTTTAGAAGTATAGCGCAAGTGTTTATGAATTATTATATTATATCAAAACATTTTTTTTTCAAATATTGATGATAATTTATAACAACAATGATTGTATTAGTCAGTTCTTCCTGGTATGTCCTATATAATAAATAAATGCCAAATACCACTATCACTCTCTTACCGATCACTTCATCTCACAATTCTACAAAAGTATGAACTTGAAATGGTGGTTCCTTTAATTATCAAGATGAGCAAAAAGAAAGGATTTTTGAAAAATAACATTGAAAATAAATTCTCAAATAATTAATAATGATTTTGAAATTCATAATGGAATGTGAAATTTTTTTTTGTATATATAATTGCCATTGATTACAGATTAAAATTGTAAACTGTTAAATGGAAATGGGTATTTATTATTTTTAATTTATGGTTGCCATTGGTTATTCGAGCAGATGAGATAAAAGCATGCATCAAATTTTCACTTTTATGACGTTGAATAGACAAATTATATAATAAAACAGTTATTAATCTTATGTACAACTCAAGTTTGTATCGAGTTTCAATCAAGTTGAGCTTTATTCACTCCTGGTTGTAAAGTTGAAATTCCATTAGAATCACAAAATTCACAGACGGGAGGTTCCTCTTTTGACATTAGAAATCCATGAGTTAGTCTTATGTGTTTGATTTTTTGGTGATTTACAGAGGTTTCATAATTTGTTTGAGATTATGGTTTTTTAAAACAAATTAATATGGGTGCTTATTTATAAAATGATTCTTCTATATATTATGTTTGTTTGTTGTCCATGGACTCAAAAACCACTCCACCAATATTAACGAACATTTTAGAGATTGTTCTTAGAGCTTTTAGGAAAGTTAAAAGATAAATTTTAACCAAAGTTCAGAAAAATACCAAGAGTATTTCTATATATACTTTGAACTTAGWTGCAAAAAAACCAAGATATACCAATGATAACACCATATTTTGTGTTAAGCTGCCACTTTACTCTGGATTCTAAGGAAGTTTTTAGCCGACTTCTTATAAATAAGCAGTTAGCCTTAACGTGGAATTAGTTGTAAATTGTCATTATTAATAGTAACCTATGTGTTTAGGTTAGGTTAACAACATAATATCACGCACATATCAGATAACAATTTTATCCTTCAGAAATACGAAACAAAACACATTTAAATATTCACATAGAAAATAACAGGKCTAATGGCTTTGTTTCTGTGCCACATGTAGTTGAGTTTTCTGATAAATTATTGTTCCAAAATTACAGTTTTTTTGATAGAGAAAAGTCGTTTAGAGGACGCCACACCCGCATGTGATGTCTCCATCTTACAAACGTATAACATAGCAAAATCTGTTTAGCGCGGGACAACTTTACTCCCTTTGYATTTATAGWAGRATTACCAAAATTCCACAACGCATAGGTAAGAACTTTATCTGTGTCATAGCGTCGTTATTTTGTTGATAACGTAAATATAATTAAAGTTATAAGCTTAAGAAAATACATTTACTTTTTATTTTTTCATTAAATTACTTAAAATTATTGGTTTGTGCTATCAAAAAAATAACGACGCTATGACACAGATAAAGTTCTTACCTATGCGTTGTGAAATTTTGAAARTTCYATTATAAATATTGAGGGAGAAAAGTTGTCCCGCGCTAAACAGATTTTGCCAAGTCATACGTTTGGAAGACGGAGACAACACATATGGRTGTGGCGTCCTCTTACAGACAGTATATTATATGGGTGGATACTGGATATCATACATGAACATTCTGACGTGAATCAATAGACCAACTAGGAGAAATATACAACATCCTACAGTTAATTTAAAATTATGCAACTACCAATATTACACAATAGCCGGTTACAGGTTTCACAAAAACAAATAATAACATTGAAGGTTGGCAGAGAGCACTTTCAACGTTGTAAACTGTGTCTCATCTAATTATATAGTTACTTATTGARGTCTCAAAAAAAGTATGACATAAATATAAAATAAAAATTAATCAATTTAGACAAAAGCCTTCAATAAAAAGAAAAATATTACCTACGATGTTTCTAGACATACTATAGAAATATAATGTCTACAAAATTAGTGTTATGGCCAAGGCCAGATTTTATAATATTTGTTAATTGAAATAGGATACTGATAAAAATAGAAGAGTGAGCCATACATTAACCTTATGCATCATGGACTTTAAATATGAAATTTTATAATTCTTTTTGTTTGCATATTTTCCATTTAATTGGTTGCTATTTCATACATTTTGTATWTTCATGAATCTAGTTTATATTATGTGATATGAAAAATCAAAAAGTTTGTCATTTATTTTAATAATATTTTTATTTTTATTTTTGAATCCAAAGGAAAAATATAAATATTACATTTTTGTACATAATAAAATCTTTTTAGGATAGTTTAACTAATTGACCTATCGAATACTTAACTATTATGACTACTTATCAGTATTTTTACGATTTATATTTCATAAAGAATATTCTGTCGTACATTGGTGCCGATTTTTATCTTCAAATTGTGAACTGAACAARTTTACATTRTTGATATTTTTCATGTGTATTATAGCGCTTATTTCAAAATAATCTTTTCCATCTGTTTCTACCTTCTACAGTCTCTCTCCATTATATACCAGCATCTATTCTTCGTACATCTTTAATAACACTGTCTTCCCAAGGTCTACCCAAAGGTCGTTTCCCTGCTGGATTGTTTTCGATGAAAGTTCTTGTAATTGAGTCTTGCTTCCTTCGTGCATAACCTGCCCATTTCAATCTCTTAACTTAAATTTCTTTCGTTATGTTAGAACGTTGGAAAAGTTCACAAAGTTGTTGATTATGTCATTTCTTCTATTCCCTGGATTGATCTTACATAGTCCAAAAATCTTTCTCAGATCTTTCCTCTCAAACGCTTCTAATCTAATTTGTTCTGCTTTCATGAGAAGCCAAATCTCTGAGTCATCAAKAACAACAGGGTGTATCAATTTTTATATACATCTGGATTTTAATATTCTTTGAAACAACTTTAGCTCTTAATAGTTTCCTTTATTTATGTATTTATTCCCTTTGTTCAGTCTATTAGAAATTTCTGCTTTTATGGTCATTATCGTTGGTTAATATTATAATAAGTATAAATATAAATAAATCATGTAGATCTTAAATAATGAAAGTGGGAAACTATTTTTAAGTTATGATTTAACTTCCTCTGAACTATAAAAACTATAGTTATAAATATCATCTGCATACGCCAGAAAGCCAGCAGTACCTAGTCTGCGCTAACGAGAATCCTGAAGTGATTTATAGCTTCTGTAATAACCTTCTCGAGAACAAAATTAAAGAGCAAAAAGTTCATCTCTTTGTCTTAGTCCCATTGTTGTTGTTACCTTGATCGATTCTGAGGCTCTTTTTGCTATTTTCTCTTTATTCTCTGTATATTCTGATAAACTGTCGTTTAAGTGCCCATTATTTAGGTTTTCCGGTACCTATTTAGTGGCTTTCCTATTATATTAATATGTCCCCGTATCTTTAAAAATGTCCACTATTTGGAGGTATGCATTAAGGGAGATTTCACTGTATTCTAATAATTCTCTCATTGTTCTAAGTCTATGAAGAATAATGGTAGCTTTACACTATTTATAATATGCCTACTTTTTTCTTTTATTTTATTATATATTAACTTGGTTCCATTCGATAAAATGTATAAATCATATACAAGTTGTAAAATTATAATCGATTTTCTTTTATTTCTGAAAATTGTTATACTTTGTTATTTGCATGTTTTTGAATAAATTGCATTTCTACGATTGTCGTAAACATAGTTTCCTAARTTGTGCACGTTATGTGAAGTTATACACTAATTCTTTATTAGTTTTGCCTTTTTCTCATCACTTTTATCTTCACCAAAGGACATTTGGTTATTGTTGAAATAATTATAGTTACCTGAGTATCGGAAACTTTGATTTATAATTTCTTTCTAGTTAAGTGTGAAATTAGGAAGGATTATTATGAGTTAATTTGTGTATTAAGTATTTATTTATTTATTTATTTTTTATAGTTGTAGAAGATTTGCTCAAAGTTCGCGAACCAGTAAATCTGGATGCCATTTATTTTTTGACACCAACTCAAAGTTCAGTCGCTGCACTTCTAAGCGATTTTCCTTTGAAAGGAAATACAAGGTATAAATCAGCTCACATTAACTTCACTCATGGTAAACATTTTGAAATTTTTCTATACTTATATTGTTCATATTTTCAATTTCAACTGATATAATTACAACACATTTTTATTTAAAAAAATAATTATTGAAGAGTTAGAATAATTAAAATTTCGTTTTCCGAGTAGATGTTCATTATAATATATAGGGTATACTTACTAAAATTCTCCTAAAAAAATCACATTTTCTTGAGAGGGATAAATAAAACTATTTAACTAAAAGTATATCTATAAAAACTTTCAAAAATATTGACATAAACTATATTATTAGACTGGTTATGTCAAGTAGAGAATAAATATTTTTTATTTCAAATYATTCATATTATTGAAAGTAATTAATTAACTATACTATACAGATCGAACAGTGTTGTATTTATGTCAAGTATAATATACCTATTGCTTATAATATCTAATCATAAATAGAAATTATAAATTATAAATTCTATTTAACTTATTAATACCTACTTATAAGTATCTTGTTAATATCGTGTAGATCAAGCATGTCAAATACGCACCCTCAGCTCAATTTTTTATGGTCCACGGCTACCAATATTAATGAACATGAACAAAAACATAAAATATTAATGTCATGTTACTACTGTCTTAGATTCTTAAAGAATGGTTTATTTGGTAGAAATGTATTTTACTGTACTATCTTCTGATAAACTAATCGAATAAGAATTTTTTTTGAATTTTTATGTCTGGCCCGCACAGTAAGCTTTTCAATATTTTTGGCCCATATGATAATTTGAGTTTGACATGCCTGATGTAGATGATTTAAAAATTAGAATTTAGTTTCTACCTACCTAGTTACGATTGGTAATGTTTTTATATCAATTAGTTATGCCCTAAATCGTATATTTATAAAAAATATATTTTTGTTACCTATATAATAGTATGTAGTTGGTAGTTAATTTATTACTTTATTTCATTTGTTTCAAGAACTTTCATGCTTATATCTTATAAAAAAGTGGAGTACCTAGGAGGACTAAGGTAGCTTTAGCTCCCTCCCCCCATYGATTGTGTTATTGTATAAATATTATATTATAAAAGGCAAAGTACAAACTATAATAACAACCAATAGATAACCCTAGGGAATAAGGGACTATGACGAAGAAGCAAATATGCTGCTAAACTTAATGGCACCCAAGTTAACCTGTAGCATTTATTACATATTGTTTTAGACACTCTTAAAACCTTTGCTTATCCAAKACGTGTAATTTTTCCTCAATCAAATATAATATAATATAATATCATGAGTATTGTGTCAACTATTACTGCTTTTTTTGTGCTTTAGCTAAGAGAGCTGATAAATTGAAATCTGTTATTTTAGCTGATAACAATAGTTCAAAATATAAAAAATTAAGAACACTGTGTGAAACTCGTTGAGTTAAGCGGTCATGTACTGATTACATTTAAACAACTGTATATTTATGTAGTGCATTCTCTTGAAGATTTTTCACATGACCCTAATCCTGAAAGCTCATGCAAAATTCCATTATATTTAAATTCAGTGACCAACAGTAAATTTCTCATTGCACTTGAAGTTGCAGTAACATATTTGGCCTACWCTTTACAACTCAGTATTTCTCTAAAGAGCAAACAACAACATCTTTCTAAGGATCTAGTATATTAACCAACRTCATGGGTTTCTAGTGAACTAAAAGGACTTCGAAAAAACGCAAATGAACACTTCAAACAAATTTTTAAGGATGTTTTAGATGCAGCAAATTTAGCAAATATTGAAATATACATGCCTTGGATATGTGGTAGGCAAACACACAGACTAAATATAAACATACTTCAAAATATCAGTATTACTTCCTTTACTTCATTTAATTAATTAAGAATTCGATGTACTATTTAATTAACAGCTAAGTGATATAATGCCTTTGCAGGAACTCATTCAATCAAATTTTAGTRTGGACGATGACGAAAATATTTTGAAGGCGGATTCTATATATGTTCAAGTTTTTCCGAATGACAATAAATAATGATAATTCTATTCTTAGAGCAGAGTTGTGTACTTAGAAATGTTGATGGAGAAATAAGGAACTTGAGAGGGTGAGACACCCATATTTGTTGTCTCAGTCTTACAAACGCGTAACATAGCAAATTTACGCACTCAGCAGTTCAGGTTTTACTTCAATAACTTAAAAATCAGAGTGAATAGACCTATTATGAAACTTGACTATAAGAACATTATCTGTGTTTTGTTGGAAGAATTTTTACGATAATTTAGTTGTTAAGTGAGTTATGCGTGTATAATAAATTGTAAAATAAAATGCTCATAACTCACTTAAAAACTGAATTATCGTAAAAATACTTCCAATAAAACACAGATAATGTTCTTACAATCAAGTTTCATAATAGGTCTATTCACTCTAATTTTTAATCTAATAGAGTAAAACGTGAACTGCTGAGTGGGTAAATTTGTTACCTATGTTTCGCGTTTGTAAGACTGAGTCAACAAATACGGGTGTTATTTAAATCTATTTTTTCCTAAAGATAATTTCACTATAGTTCTGTAAATTTTGTTTTGTAAGACTGAGTCAACAAATACGGGTGTTGCACCTTTTTAAATTATATTAAGCTACCCCCATTGCACAGTTGTCATACCAAATATTCAAATACTTTTGCAGTTATTACAATTTTTTGTAACATTACCAGTTACCTTACCATCTTTAACATCCTTACCCACATCTGAACGTATGTACGTTTTCAACACTGAAATGGTATATTAAAATATATAGATACATACAATCAACTATGTCGGGAGAACGACTTAATTTATTTGGCAAATATCAACAAAAAACAACAACTGAGTGAGGTCGAAGTAATAAAATCATTTCAAAATTATAAAACAGGATAAAATGATAAAATACCAAAATTAAATTTGTTTAAAAATAATAACAAAATTTATAATTTATGTAATTTATCATATCACATTTGTATTATAAAACGGTCACTATGACCTATAGATATCAGTAATAGATATGTATGTGTTTTACAAATTATTTAATGATAAATTACAATTTACAATTACCTGCTGTAAGACTTTATATTGAAATAGTTTGTTAAGATATCAAATTCTGATTAGCCCCTTCCTCCATTGAAAAATCCTGGATACACCACTAATTATAAAAGTATATACACTCTAGATTAAACTCAAATTATAGTTGTAGTGCTATGTAGTTATGTTAAAACATCATTATAGTGAATTATTATTAATGTAATAGTTTTATAGGTACTAAGTTAGGTAAAGACATTTTCAGTGATTTAAAATTTAATGTTGAAAGTCATTCTGTGAGAGGGAAGGAGGGGTTTACACTTAATTTGAATTATTAATTATAATCTATTTTTGTTTTGCTTTGATTAACCTAGTATTAATATTTTGCTTCATTTTAACAAAGCATGTCCAGATAATATCTTTAATCTTCTCTCCAAATCACTTCCTAAGCAAAAGATTGTATCGTTCCGAGAGATTAACATTGCTTTCATACCATTTGAGAGGCAGGTGGGTGTTTTATTAATTCATGGTATCATTTAAACATTGATAATTATTAACCTGTTTAAGTAGCTTATATTTTTATCTGTTTATATTCCTTAGGTGTTTTCCTTGAACTGCCGCGAAACATTTCAATCGTGTTTTAATTTCTTACTTGACAGTGCTCAAATTCCTCAATTGGATTCTTTGGCATTCGAGATTGCCTCTGTTTGTTATGTGTTGGATGAATATCCATCTATTAATTATAATAAAAGAAGTAATAATAAAAGTACATTAGAATTAGCACAAATGGTACTGAAAGCACTGAAAATAATGAAAATTGATGCACCTTGCATGGGTGATAATAATGAAAAAATCCGTTCGCAGTTAATAATAATTGATAGGTCATTTGATTGGATCTCACTAATTTTGCACGAGCTCACTTTCCAAGCAATGGCTCATGATAATTTTCTAATAAAAAACAATGTTTTTATGTGAGTTTATAATTACCAATTTAATTTTATAATTTTTATAATGTTTACAATTTTATATCATATCATATTTTATTTGGAAAGGTTTACTGAAAACGATGCTCAAAAAGACGTAGTTTTTGACGATGAAGATGAGTTATGGACGGAGCTCAAACATCAACACATTTATAATGTGGCAGAGTAAGTTAAGAATCTACTCTCAAGCTTGATATCATAGTTTTATAACTCAGGTTTATTTTGTTTAAGTATTCTGAAAAATAAATTGAAGAATTATGTGGACTCTGGAATCGTATCAGCTAATGATGTTTCACGAAGTACATCAGCTGGTGGTGTATCTTATGTTATTAACAAACTTCCACAACAAAAAAAAACATTGAATAATATCACCAGATATATGGGTGCACTTGAAAAATGCATGGATTTCTATGGAAAGCATTTAGCGGACATTTGTATTTTCGAACAAGACCTAGTTATGGGTAAAGAAGCCACTGGTGATAAAATCACTTACGATGTTAAGAAGAGACTGACTTCTTTTTTAATGGACAGTAATGTATCTATACAGAACAAGATAAGGCTTATTATATTATATATTTTATTTATGAACGGAGTATCAGAAGATATTTTTAAAGAACTTGTTCAAAATGCTCAACTTTCACCAGCTAATATACAAACTATTATCAATTTGAATAAACTTGGCGTTACCACTATCATAGATGTAAATTATCTTTATGACTATATTATAAAATTAGTTATCTTAGTATTTTTTTCTTATTAAAATAATAATTAATAATCTAACTACTGTTTCAGGAAAATAATAAGAAACCGCCTAGTAAGACTAAACGTAAGGATCGCGTCGATGAAAATACATTCCAAGTTTCACGCTGGACGCCAAAGATCAAAGATATAATTGAACATTGTATAGAAAACAAATTGGATCCTGAAGAATTTCCTTATGCATTTGTGAGAGAGCATTCAACTAAAAATAATAAAGCGTCTAGGTATAACTACTGTATGTTAAATACTAAATTATAAATTACAAGAGGTTTGCTCATGAAATATTTACATAACAAATTTAATAATTATCATGCTTGCACACATTAAAGTATTTATAATATTATTTGTATAAAGAAAGTAGTAGTTAAATACGGCATAAACTTATTGATTTTTTACATGCGCACGTATCACAATTATTTTACGATAGATAGCTACGCATAGTTTTCAATAATTTGTGGGAATGCCAAGATCAAAATCTCTAATCATAATCTATAATAATGGTTATAATGGTTAAATATTATATTATAAATGTACAAATCCACAAGTCATTAATCACAGTTCACTTATTCGTCATGCAGTTTACTGTTATTTTTGTTAGATACATCTAAAGTAAATACTCCGGTACCTAAATGCCGAATCGTACTTACCTACTTAGTGTTTATTTATTTTTAATATAATGAAATATTATTTTATCGACTTACAAATCTTCATTGTAAGTTATGATWATTTATTTTTATTTAAAATGGCATGTATTATATTATAATTATTTTAATTTGATAAATTATAAAATTACCTTTCGCATGAATAAACCTTGTATTAGTTCAAGGTATAATGCAACGTGGTACAAAGGAAAAGATTCAAAACAACACAATCCAAGAATCATACTTTTCATAAATGGTGGAGTTACCTATTCAGAAATTAGAAGTGTTTATGAGGTATCCAAAACCTTCAAAAACTGGGATATTGTAATAGGTAGGTCGTTGGTATAAGCATTTATTATGGCAAAAATTTGATCATGTAAATATATTTTTTGTTTTTATGTAGGTTCATCCCAYATAATAACTCCAGAGGACTTCCTCCAAAACTTGTCTGATTTAGGTGAACATTAGGCGAAAAATTTAAATGTTTAAATACATAAACGTATGTTTTGTTAAAGTATTTCTGTATGTAGTTTTATTTTTACATTTATTTTATTAATTTATTATTATATGAACATTTATTTATTAATCACAAAAATAAAACTAAATTTAAAGTAGGTAAGTAATTACCTACCTTGTAATTTAATGAGTTTGCAGTATTGTGTGGTGTGTTGGTTGATAATTTTTTTTTATGTTCTATAAACTTAATTTCAATATTTGATTTATCATAAAAAAAGTTGGTCATTTTGTTGATTATAGTTACTTATTMATTTAAATTAATTATTTTTTGATTATTTGAATACCAACTTGCTTGCAAATTTATCATTTTTAGACATAATTGTAATTTGTGCTTATGCATGTATTCCAACTTCAAAGTTATTGTCTAAGTTTAAAGTTGCAAAAACTGCATTTGACCCATTAATTTTTAAATATTTTTTGGATAACTTCTYTGAGTTCTCTGTATTGTGGAACTGTGATTGTATTTTTCTCAATATCAATTATTATAAATTTTTAAGTGTTTAAATTTATAAGTAAAAATAATGGAAGATTAATTATGAAAAACTAAATAACTTTATACATTCTAAATGAACCCAATCATTAAATTCAAAAACAAATATAGATTAACATAATAATAACTTTACATTTCATAATATGATAAATGTTATAAAATTAGATTATAAAAATTTATACTTTCTAGTTTCTATAGACATAAAAAAAAACTTAACTTTAATTTATAACACATTAGATAAGAAAAAGTTCTTAAATCCTGTTTTAACTGGGCTATA